AAGGTTGATAGTTTCGTGAAAGAGACGATGAGAATAAGCTCTTTGGGATCTAGTGAGTGACGTTTTACGTCTCTATTCTCTATACTGTCTACTTAACCACCTTTCCCGCTATGAATAGTGAGTATCAGTCGCAGAGTCAAGAAGCCATTCACCTTTTCCAACGGGGTGACACTTCAACCTGGCGATATGATCTCTTGCCATCTTTACGCTGTTCATCTGGATGAGGACCTCTACCCTGACGCCAAAGAATTCAATGGCTATCGGTTCTTGGGTATGAATCCTGGATATACAGGTGGCGACGCACGCATCAGTGCTACCAGCGCTCTTTTGGATGACATCAAGAACGATGAGGATGAAGGAAGAGAGGAAAAGGAGACAAAGAGAACCATGTATACAACCTCCAAGGACTTCCTCACGTTTGGACATGGAAAACATGCTTGGTGAATACCCCGCTGGATTGCCTTACCTTTGCTAATATTTTTACTTGTACAGCCCCGGAAGATTCTTTGCCTCGCTCGAACTGAAAGCGGTCCTTGCGACCTTGGTTCTCGGGTACGATGTCAAATGGGCAGGTGACGTCGCCAAAGATAATGGTCACGGGAGTGGGTACGAGCCGAAGGAAATCTGGTTTGGCGAGAATCTCTTACCAGATATGAAAGCTCGTATCAAGATTCGGAAGCGTGTCTAATCCAAGAGGTTGACTGAGGATCAACCACACCTGGGAACGCGATTAGGTAGATGCGACATTGAACATGTGTCTTTTAGATAACGATTTTCCGGGATCGTAATAATTTATTCGTACAACCCTCAACCCGACATAAGCTACACAGGAATATCAGGTGGATCAACAGAATTGACTCCGGCCTGTTTAAACACGGTATCAGGTCAATTGTCCGAGTGCATTTGGTGAATTGAAAACCCCTACCTTTTGCACTAGAAGTAAAGCGACTTTACTGATCAGCTTTGATGTAAAGGTTAATGCGGGGCCATCTGGTTGCACAATGTTCAGTAAACTGCTCTTTTGTTATGTGCGAGTTCTCTGGCCAGTAACAGGAGCCTCCAATTTTGATCTCGCTGAGGGATGGAAACGATCTAGGGTCCAAAGTTTGGCACTGCCAGAGTGAGCTGATAAACCCTTCAAGGTTGATGGCACGCAACGATATACTGCGCAAGAACTCGCATGACTGGAGCCTCATAGGGAGATTATCATCTACCTCTACCTCCTCCAGGTGTATAGTCTCCAATCCAATATGCTGTGGAGAGAAGAGTACATCAGAGACGCTAATATCACCCAGTTCTGCAGCTTCAGCTGCAGTAGTTTTGCCTTTTAAAGGAAGAAAATTGACGACAATAGCATCCAGGTGCTTTAAATTTGGCATTCTGAGATAACGTCGTAGTGGACCCTCGATCCTCACAAATACAAGCCTAAGCCTCTCCAGGTTAGGAAAGCAGAAAGCCACTCCCTCTGGTACTACTCTAGCTACCAGATCAGTCTCAGTTAGAGTCAGCTTAGTCAGTCGATTCCCTAAAATGTCCAATGCAAAGGCCGACGGAAGTTGGGCACCTATCTTGACCACTTCAACATTTCCTGGATGAAATAGACAGGAAAATGATCTATCCCCATCGATGTTCAAAGAACGGAGTTGTGGAAGGTGGGGATTTGAGGTGTGTATGAGGTGGGTGGACTCTATAATATCAATGATCAGTAGAGCGGTATGCACCATCATATAGCAAAGAGAACAAACGAGAGTATATAATCAGGTTTGCCACGCGTTGAAGCAAACCATGTTCCAAAAGTCTCGGAAAATAGGCATTCGGTAAGAGAAGAGAAAGTGTTATCTCCTCTTTGGTTGACTGCATTGCTAAATTCAACACGTCTACTATGGCTTGCTCCGGTAAGTCGATTAGGCACAGGTACTTTAATTCCTCTAGGCGAAGGAGGTGTGGCCTCCCGACGGGTAAGTTGCCACTGGACCACTCGAGCGTCAGTGAATGAATCAGAGGCTTCCGTGCATATAGCAGTTCCAATAACTCTTCATTGTCTTGAGGACATATATGTACGTCCAATGGGGATGGATAGGCTCGTTCTAGGGCAAGTTCCAGCTGTCCTGTGCTGCAACATCCATCCTTTTTGTCCTTTTGAGGGTTAGTTTTGACTAATAGTTAGAGATACTGATCTTTAGCACATAATATTACATACATAGAGTCTATAACGCGTGCAAAGTGTAATTTTGCTCCAAATCGCGCGCATCTCAATGACAATGTCGCGAAAAGTACCACAAATCTGTGTCATCTTGAGACGAGGTATACCATTATCGATACAAATATGAACAACCTCATTCAGGATCTCCTCTGGGAGACACCTGAAAGGAGAAAGGTATGATCTGTAGTTGTCTCTTTGTTGCTGAAGGTCGGCAAGCCTGGCCTGGACTTTTCTGTTTTGTTCCTGAAAATCAGTGATTTGATCTTCAAGATTAGTTATCTCTTTCTCAATTTCATCTAAGGCATTCCTGGTTTGGAAAGTCTCGGACGGGGAAGGACGAGACCGTGGATGAGGGTAGGGGAGTACGGTGAATGATGGGTTCATTGCGTTTGATAGCGACAGTTTCGATATCTGAATAGTACTGGATAGAATTGAGGCCACCGGTGGGGGTTGTATGTAATCTACGTTGTCAAAGCGGAGATCAAGCAAGGCCATGTCACTATTACCTTCACGCCACTTAGTGCATGCTATACCAAACCCATTTAAAATGTTGATTCTGCACGAGTATCCTAATACACGAAGCAGGAGTGTAGCCGAATCCACCCAGACAAATATCCGAAAAGCGAGACGGAACAATGTGTGGTGCGCTAGCTAGGATACAATAAAACGTAGAAATGCTGTCCAATAAAAGAGGCGAATTCATATCGAATTGCTAAAGTAGTGTAGATTGCGTAGAATATGCGAGAGACTGGAACTATGCAGTGGGTCGTAAACGAAGGTTATCCGTCGATAGATATCTTGGCTCTTCTTAGCATATCTTGGAACTTGGAGCGCGAATCGGGATAGACAAACGAGGAGAGGATTTCTTGAATCTGCGCAACGGGTTAGCAGGCATCGCATAGAGTTAGAGTGGGACTCACATGTGTTCTGATTACACTTTCCAAAGGTCCTCTTGGTGCCTTGGAAGTGTCCAAATCGGCTCCTGAAGGAGAATGGATATTTATTGGTTCGTCCATTAGGAATCGGGAGATGGGGCTTGGGCCGGCATCGGCAGGAGTGTCGAGTTTGTCTAGGATGATCGTCGAATGATCTTCCGTCCACCTAACGCCTCGTTTCTTCTTCTTCTCTTCCGACTTTGCTTCGCTAGGCTTCTCTTTCTCCTTTCCTTTCAAAGACCTCTGCTTTTCTAGAGAGGGTCGGATGCCGGCCAACATTCCACCTTCCTCCTCCTCTTCCGGTGGATCAATCCAAGCACTCCACAGCTCTAGTTTTCTTCCGTCACTTCGGAGGAGCTTGAGCGCGGTATGGCACCGGTCCCAGTCATGTTCGTCTCCTCGCCAGATATCGCTAACATCTGTTAACGGATCTCGAGGTTCTTCGACTTCTCTCCAGCCTCCTATTGTCGGCGAGATAGGTGTGACCCCCGGGTGAGGGGTGGCCGGTTCCGAGGCGGTGGGGATGTGAGTCGCTGGAGAGTGGTAGGTGCCTTTGGAGTCGGAGGAGACGATGGATGGAAGATAGACCATGAGGCGTAGCCACCTTCGTCTCCTGACACAGGTGAGGACGTAGCTGTGCCATTTGGGTGCTATCGGCTTCCAACCCTTGTCCTGAAAGTGGTTATTGTATTGGAACCCATCGTAAGAGGTCTGTACGTCGCGCATAAGACACAGTTTATTTGAGTTTACAGAGGGTATAGCTCACCATTCCATCCCCCGCCATGTCGATCAACCATTCGGGCCCTTGCCAAGCCCAGTCCGCACTAGGCAACTGGACATCCGCAAGAGATGTATAAGGTAGATTGACTTGTACGAGTTGATTTGTTCCCTTGTCGTCGCGTTCGTATTTGGTGAACGGCGCAGGGTCATCAACGTGAAAGAACAGGTTGAGCGCCCTGGAGGAAAATCGGAAACTACCGAAGCGAGCCCATCTGCCACAAAAATAGACATGAGTATCCAGGGGAAGGCACACCCGAGCGTTGAATGCACTCTGCACTCTTGCCGGAGAGACGAAACACTCACCCGCGCTGGTTCTCGTAAATGTCGACATATCGATAAACGGCCTTTGGAAGCTTCTCCCCCTTTGGACTTGTCTGATCACTTGAATCACTGGTAATTCTCTCGAGTTTGACGCTGCCGTCCGTGAGCGTCCGTCTTGGCACGACCCGAGCTGGCCGCGTCAAACCAGCATTTTCGTCACTGCCTTCTGCACCCCCTCCATCCGTGCTATCCACTCCTCTGCTATTATTTGTCTTTGAACTGGCTGGGCTAAATGGGGACACGGGCGAATGGTGGCCGTGCGGGAATGAGATCCGGTGCCAGCCCTTTTTGCTCTGCCGTTTTGCTAGCTCTTGGTCGACGAGCAACTCGATGTCTTCATCCTTGATGGAGGGCGGCGGGGGGCTGAGAGGCGTTCCTGGGACTGAAAGGGAGGATTTAAAGGGTACGTGGAGGACTTGAGCGTCTGGTGAAGATGGGCTTGAAGGTGTCGCTGAGGCGAAATCAGTGCTGCTCATGATTGGTGCGGTTCAGAGGTGGGATCGCTGAAACGGTTTAAAATAGAAATAGGGAAGAAGATGGGCAAGTGTGAAAGCTGAACCCTGCCAGCAAGGAGAGTTTTTTTGGAGGATTTAAAACCTGTAGGGTGAGACCGAGAAAGGGACGAGCCAACTCCGGATCCGACGTGGCCAAGAGCAGAGTGTGGTGGTGCACTGTGGTGACGTAGAGCTCTAGCCCAGCCAGCCACTCTCTCTCAGCTCACAAAAATAAGAATACGTTTTGATAAGACCGTTGAATCCGATTTATTGCGCGAGATATAGACAATTACATAGAGACATGGTTGCATGCACAAAACACATGAGAACGACACCCAAGAAATAACAAATCTATCTCAACACCAAGACTAAAAATAAACGCCCAGATCATCGCTTCTTGTGGTGGTGGTGCATGATCTTGTCCCAGATGAATGCGCCGGGGATCCAAGGATCATCGCTATCCTCGCCATTGTCATGATCATCCTTGTTATGCCTATCAGGCTGCGACTTTGCCTCGATACTTCCAGCTTGCGAAGGGACGGCATGGGCGTGTCCTCCATGTATAGTCTT